ATACGTCGCTTCTTTGAATCCTGTTCACTAAGGCGCATTTTGAAATTTTGGGATCCTATCTTGGTGGACTGTCTGTTCTCCGATGAAAGAAGACAATCTCGATGATGCACCGACCGTTTGCTCGAATGACTCCAACGGACCTCAGACTGATTGGGTTCATTAATCAAAGCAGAGTTATGCTGGGCAGTTTGATCCAGTTCCCAAAAGTTCTGTCGCTCCGCATAAGAACCATAATGATCAGTCGAGTGCTGACGTCGAATCAAATCCGGTGCTGCACTACGACATCGCCCTTTACGAATGGGCCACAGTTCTTCTGGTTCGAACTCGAGTCTTCTTGTGGTTCTGGCCTCATTAGGTACACTTGGCCGTCTTCGTATATGGAATCGTTTTCTTGTCAAGACCCGTTGATGAGTAGTTTGAACTCCCCACTTTTTGGCTAATATACGCTCACTTAGATCCAACATCTTTTTCACTTCCTGATTGATCATACGTAAGCCAGCATCTAGCAAACCAAAGTCCCTGCTGATTGCACGTTTTGAGCATTTGTGATCACATTTATTGAAACATAGCTCAGCTGTGGGTGCTTTCAGTAGCGAATGCCGTGGATCGTTAGATCGTAAATTATCCGGCCGCATTATGATAAGTAACTCAATCAACCAAACAAAACCGGTCTCAGTCGGTGCTCAGTGGACAGCATGTGCAACTCATGTGAACTGAATGTGCACACCTGGTTGTGCAAAGCGAGACACTGTTACACTTGGACCCCGATGTATGGATTTTTAGTTTGAAGTTATCATGTGACCTCAGATGACCGGCAGAAAAGTATGCAGATAGTAAAACTATTACAAAATCTCACTACGCAGGGAGGAACTTTTAATAATAACTAACACTAATAAAATGTTTCAAATTCCGAAATAATCCCATTGAAACATCAGAACACAGGTCCGAAGGCGAGCAATTGTTTTCGAATGATTCATAATCGTGCCTGCACAGATCATATAAGGGTTCGAACCCACCGTGGCTACTGAACTTTTCACAATCGACATACAAACTTCCAATCTACCAAAACAACTATTTGAACAATTAACCTTGTCTTAGAAGCTCATTCGGTGGAGTCCGGTGAATTGTAAAAAAACCTGTCGAGGCAGTCAGCTTACATGCTAACTGGTGGATGCCACATGCCTCTGTAAGAAACCTTTCGAGGCAGTCAGCTTACATGCTAACTGGTGGATGCCACATGCCTCTCTGTGTAAACCTGTCGAGGCAGTCGCCTTACGTGCTAACTGGTGGATGCCACATACCTCTGTAAGTTGGATGGGTAAATTCGAATATAAGGGTTTGTTGTTAGTGGGGACACATTTTCACGCTGGGTCAAAGGGTCATTTGGGATGAGGAGAGGAGAGGGGTAAGCTCTATGTGTCTGTGTTCGGGTGAGACTGATTGTGATTGGAGTGGTAGTGGTGATGGTGATGTTGATGATCAATTTGGGGAATCGGCTTTCAACGTAATCTACCGTGTGCCCCCCAACCCCTCCAAAGCAGTGCGTTTACATACACTAGCCACCGCTGAGGCGATAGGCATTCGCCTATTCGCACCAGAACTATGTGCACAAAAGCGACTGGTTCAACCTCCCCACTTACCCTGGCCCAAAATTGATCATCACCATCATCACCACCACCACTCCAATCACAATCAGTCTCACCCGAACACAGACACATAGAGCTTACCTCTCTCCTCTCATCTCCTCATCCCAAATGACCCTTTGACCCAGCGTGAAAATGGCCCCACTAACAACAAACCCATTATATGATCTGTACAGGCACGATTATGAATCATTCGAAAATAATTGTTCGCCTTCGGACTTGTGTTCTGAATAATAAAATGCCCTGATATCAATTTCGCTCTGCTTTCTTATACCCAGTGCTGTTTATCTAATAGGGGACATTAATAATTACGAATTATTCTGATGAGATACAAAGAATGCATGAAAAAAATTCGTCGATCAAAATCAAAATTTCTTCACAGTTGAATGAAACTAATAAGTGACAGTCATGAGCCTGTGTCCTAATTGCTCTATTTCATGTGAGTAATGGAGGATTTGGTTAAATTTCAAATGGGAATTCGTCATGTATATAGTAATTGAAGCGTGAACTGAAAAGCTCGGAAGCACTGGACAGCTGTTTCGACCTGGTTGGGTCTCATCAGCAGTGCGAATCCATCGATCCGACTGGGGATCGAACCCGGGACTTCATGGGCAGAACGCATGCGTGCTACTCACTACGCCACCGAGCAGCTCCTCAGACCGTTTTTCATTTTCCATTTACACGATATAGTACAACCCATCTTTGAAAGTTTGTTGCGGGCCACAGACCCTGCTCAACTCAGCACTAGCCTCCGGGGTTATGACTCGGTTGGAAACATTCACAAACTGACTGATTATTTCATGTGAGTAATGGAGGATTTGACTAAATTTCAAATGGGAATTCGTCGTGTAAGTTGCAAATGATGAGACCAAACCAGGTGGAAACAGCTGTCCAGTGCTTCCGAGCTTTTCAGTTCACGCTTCATTTGCTATATACACGACGAATTCCCATTTGAAATTGCTCCGTTATTGGAAAATAACCGATGGGAAAACTGGACCAAAAGGGGGTTGGGAATCCATTTGTAAAGCGGTAGTGGTCGGATCGAAAACCTGTAACGAAGCATATTCTACGTTATTTCCACTACCATATCAGTTAAATTATGTCTTTTGACGAAACTCATTGGAATAAAAAAGGGTCCTATCCCAAAGTGGCACACCGATTGAGAACCCACCATTTTAATTTACGTATTTGTTTTCATGTGCTTTAATAAACTCGGTTCCCATTCCGACTCACTGCGAGACCGAGAATGCTTTCAAAGAACCTTAGTGTAAGCACGCCCCAACGGTACGTGTTTGCGTATCAAAGACAATCAAGATTTTTATGAAGTTCTCCGTTTGACATTAGAACGGTGCATTCGGAATGTAACCCTTTTTCCAGTTTAAAGTGGCTATTTATCAAGAAACTACTTGTTTCCTTCATAAAAGTCCTCTAACTATAAATTTGAATTTGTTTACCACCCTACAAACGTTTCCACTTACAACCATGTTTGTACTCGCTTCTCTCTCACACACATTTGTCAGTTTCTTGACTCGTGCGTATTATTTATCACCCGACACGCACTTCGCGCTCGTTCCAAATGATTCCATTTCTGTACTCACCAACTAAACTCGTTTTTTCATCTCCTCTCGTGATCGTTGTTCCTAACCCTGATATGGTCTGATTCACCTTACCCTATGATTGTCAGATTGGTCCTCTGTCTCACGTGCATCGCACTGACTCATGTGCACCTATGCGCCATTACTTCACGATTATTATTTCACATTATTTCACGTTGCGCTTGTCCGCTTGACGGAGTGGTGAACTCCCTCGTTTGCACTGTTGGTTCTCGAGTTGCTTTGTTCAGTTTGCGGTTTGAGGTTTATTGTTTATTCAGTTTTGACACTTCATATTTTCAGTACCGCATTATAATTCGTTATTTTAAAGTCGAATAAACCTCGAGAACATTTTGACTTGGATTCTGAGGTGTGCGTCACTCAACGTTGGTACGCATTTAACAATTACCGAATTTTAATTCTAAATATTGTCCCATTCAGTTGCAATGTAATCGTGACCACCGATTTGGGTAAATGAGGTTCATCTTGATTAGAAACGGCCTTGGCTTTGTGACGTCACAAAATTAAGGCATAGTTGACGATTCACACTAGATTGTACATGTATGATTTAATGCTTAATTCGTTGGTAAAATCGGATTCAGGAGAAACCCTGTAAGAGAAATAAAATATCTGCCATCGGGTTTAAGTTATGGGTTTCTTTGCAATATTCCAAGCTCTCATTGTTCGCTATGCAATTTCCCCATGATTTTTCGGCGAAAAAAGGGGACCAGTGTCTGTAAAAATCCTTTCGCTCTTTTGCCTATTTTTCTTTTTGTCAAGGTGTGCTGAACCCAATCGATACATTTGTTGTGGCCAGCGTTGATCGGCATTAGTGCCGCCATTATAAATCATGAGATCAACATGTCGTCCACGATGAAGTGCATCGTTCAAACACATTAAGGGTTACGTTAGACCCAGGTTACGATGGCCTTTGATCAGTGCCCTGTCCAATTTCTTCAGTGTTCTAGGATGGACAACTGCAATTATCGTTTACACACACGGTTCAGTGAGATGGCGGTTATCGATCGATAGGAGACCTAAAAAGACTTACTCCACACCTCGTGGTCCAGCTCGATCAATCACTTGTATAATTACGTTAGTGCGATAGAGCCCATAGATCAACTGATTCGTTTCCATCAGCTATACAATTTGAAGATTGAATAATTTTGGAAACTACTACTTTGAAGTGACCTTACAGTCGAAAACAGTCGGGGCTGCATAACCGGCTGATTCAATACGGAGTTGAACCCAGCCATTCCGAAAGCGTTGATCAGTACATGCGGCTGAACGGGTATCTGGGCTTGTTTTACCAGATGCATGACCATGAGCAAGTCCCTTTCGGTTTTTATGTTGGACTCCCCATATTCTGACAAAGATAAGACGTAATCCAGTGAATATTTCTGGGGATGTAGACGTTTGAAAGACCAAACCACAACTTGGCCCATGAGTTATAATACTAAAGCACAGTTTTGAGGCAGCCGTGCTAATCGTACCTTCGAGAATGCGGCGGCTTTTTATGACAAGGAGTATTATCTATAAATAGTATAGCTTAGTTGGAGAAGCACCTTGCAGTTTGTATTGGACAGTCAACTTTGGAATAACGAAGCAGTGATAAATTTTCCCCAGTCATGCTCGAATAACTCATTTCTTGGCTCCATAAACTGTTTTTCCATTGAAACTTAATGTTCTTTCTTGCAGTTGGTTGTAATAAGAAACAGGTTGATCAGCATGGGGAATTTCACAATCCATATCCGTTAATTACTATTCATAATTATATGTTCCTTCTGCTGTTTGCATTAGACTACTTATGAGTATCATTCATTGTTACTTCCCCACCGGCGTTATGGATCGACCACCAAACGCGATACCACTATACCACATGCTTGAAAACAGTTGTGTTTATTTATTGTCTTATTGCCGCCCTTTGATTAACACCCTTTGGCCTTTTGGCATCGCGACCCGATTTGCTTGCATTTTCTACACTTATTCAAAATCTATTGTACTTTCCTTCTCTGTCGTTTAAATCCGGAACTAAAGTTTATTATAAACCTTCCCCATACCGTATTGCAACCTTTCCCAATTTGAATTTCACTGCTGTGCTATTGTTACGCTTAGCTGTTTGCCGGGTAGAAACGTTGCTCCTATCATTGCTGTCACGGACCGTTACCGCTTCCCTGTAATTTGGTTGCTCACCTGGCTGTAACTTCATTTGTCTGCTTTATTGTTACCGTATGAATCTAGAACCACGGTTCATACCATTTGGTGATAAACACTGCTAATTTATTGGACTTCGTTCTGCTGCCCGTAGTCATGCTACGCCCATATCGTGCATATAGCTATTGAGACTAAGTTTCCGAAAAGTTACCATCTACTAAGGTGTGACAGAATATCCATGGATCA